CTCTCTCCCTCTCTCTTTAAAAAAAAAAAAAGTCAATTGGTACCCAAGCTAATTTACAGAAACAAGTGAAAACGTTCTTTGAATAAAAACAAATATATAAAGACAGGCAGGGATAAAGAAAAGAAAGGAGAAACAAAGGCTTCCAAAAGTCATCTGAGATAAGGTTCCAAACAACATACATTCCCAATCTACAGATAATAAAGCAAGTCATCACAAAAATGAAAATAAGCATAATACTGAATATCCAATTATAATGACTACAATTTAAAAGAGATTGATGATACCAGGTACCACTGAAAATATGAAGCAACTGGAACTTTCATAGATTGCTAGCATATAAAAGTAAATCTACTTAGGAAAAAATGCTTAATAATTTATTATAAAGTTAATATGTATTTACTACATGGCTGAGCAATTATGTTTCAAAATAACTTCCTAAGAGTAACATGTGTCCATAAAAAATAAAATGAACATGAACATGAATATTCATAGCAATTTTATTCCTATTTGCCAAAATATGAAGAAAACACAAATGACTATCAGTTGCTGAATGGATGAACAAATTTTGGTATATCTGTACAATGGATTGTCACTCAACAACAAAAAGGAACAAATTATTAATATAAGCAAAAACCAGGGACAAAATAAAAGTTGAGATAAACAATTCGCTACTAGATTGTAAACATATTGAAGAAGTTGAAGCAAGTTATGAGTTCACTTGAAAATATAATCAAAGCATATTCTTATTTTAAAAACATAAATAAGCAATTTGTCAATGTACTTACCATCTCATTTCTGTTTTCAAAGAACAATGACAAATATATACAAATGTGAATAGATAGGTGTATGGTAGATAGGTGTATGGATGAATGGATGAATGGATAATGAGCAGATGGAGGAAGAGATGGACAGATGGACATAGAAATGTTTAAGAATTACGTAAGTCTGGAAGGATAAGTATTAAACTCTTGACATGGAGTACCTACTCTGGTTATGGAATTATAAGTTTCAATAAATGAAGATGAAAGGAAAGAAAGTTCATTGTTAAATTTACAAGAAATTTTAGCCCTGGAACATTATGGAAGAAAACTGATAGCACAAAGAGAAGGTAGATAATAAATTAATTTTATTATCTCCAATCAGACATGTTTCTTACCTTTGTCTCTGGGCATTAGCATGTGAAGCAAATAGTGTGTTAAATACTTGTTTTCCTTTGTTGTGAAGTCTGAGTTGAGAGTCTAATTATCTGGCAAAAGGGTTGACATTCATAATAAAGTCAATAAATGGACTGCTTGTACCATGGGCCATACGATCAACATGCCACAGACTCAGAAGGACCTGCAGCCTGCAAAAGTACCTAGTCATTAAAAGAATGAAACATGTCAGAATAACTGAGGACATTAGCAAAAGATGTCATCACAATGCCCTGATGACAGGGCAAATGAATCATATCCCAGGGGATGGTATACCAGGTAGTTCAGTCTTTAACCAGGTCTGGCATATAAAAATCATAACACAACAAGACCAAGTTGGTTCATCCCAAGAATGCAAGTTTAACTCAATACTTAAAATATGACTATAATTTCACCATGTTAACAGAAACAAAAGGGGAAAAGATGCATACAATGAATTTGATAAAATTTTGTATTCAGACATTACCAAAATTCTCAGGAAACAAATAATATAATAGGATGTCCTCAAGTTGATAAAAATAAATATCTATCAAAATACCTACAGCTCACTTCAAATACTAGGGTGAAGGACTGAAAGTTTATCTCCTTAGATCAGGTAAGATGTCTGCTCTTGCCCCTTTTATTCAGCACTGTACTAGAAGTTCTAGCTAGACAATATGGGCAAAACAAAAGATACCCAGGTTGGGAAGAAAGAGGTAAAACTACCTTTATTTGCATAAGACGTTATAACACAAATTATACTAATTTACTAAAAGTGGTAAGTGAATTATGTAAGGACCTAAGGTACACAGTCTATATAGAAAATTTAAGTGCACACTAGCAAAGTATAATTGAAAGAGGAAATTTCAATTGCGGGATCTGGAGCAAATCTTTTAAATTTTCTGGGTGCAAATATGCTGTCAGTTTGGCTGTTGAAACAGAATACCAAAGTATGGTTGGCTTAAACAACAATCATTTTTCCAGTTCTGGAGACTGGAAATTCCAAGATCGAGGTGCCAATAGATCTTTCCTGGTGTGTGCACAACTGTCTTATTGAATCCTCACATAGTCAAAGAGAAAACATCTCTTTTCTGTTTCTTCTTATAAGAACACTGATCTCACTCATGAGAGCCCTGCCTTCATAACTTAATTATCTCCCCAAAGCTCACTTCCAAATACCATCACACAGAGAGGTTAGGATTTCCAAATACAAATTTAGGGAAACACAAACATTCAGTTGATAACAGTTATCTAAGTAATGAAGGAGTCAGAGTAGGATGGAATGGTCTCTACAGGCTCCTTCTCACTTTAACTGTTAGTGGTTCACTAGTTTGTCATGACGTGAGATCAGAAATTCTGTATTGTTTGCGATTTCATCTCATAGTCCTTGAACCCTGGGTAGTCAACAATTGCTTTTTTATCAAGAAGAGAATGAAACATTGAAATAAACTATGAAGGAACAATAGCAAGATTCCACTTTTCAAGATACTTTATGAGGTAAATAGCTGCATCTAGAGAGTCTTATAATTCTAAAGTCAGAGACTAATCCATATGGTTTCTTAAAGTCACTTTTGGCTCAGATTATTCCTATCTGAGAAGAACCATAATGAAAATCAGCCTTCATTCAGAAAGCTATTGTTTAGGGCTGGGCCTGTAGCTGAGTGGTAGGGCACTTGGTTTCCACATGTGAATTCCTGGGTTCAATGCTCAGCATTGATGGAAGGAAGGAAGCTAACTTGAACCTGGTAGTGCATTAGGTACTATGAATGAGTAAGAGATAGTAAATTGTTTTCTCTGAGAGGCAGAACTAAGGATGGATTGTAATTATGTTGTATTGTAAGTGGTCAGGAGTCAGAAGCTCAACTGTTTGTAAAATTATACTATAACATCTATTTCTTGAGTCACAGGAAGCAAAGACCTTTGGCTATAATAACCTCAAATCACAGAATACTTAACCTAGTTTAATGTGCAAATGACTTTGAATGGATCTGAGATTTGCATACTTAATTATTCTTTTGATAAGCAGGCTCTATAAAAAAAAAAAAAGTTTCAGCCTGCAGGCCTATGGAATAATCATTGTCAGAATGTGTACTTCACCAAAGTTAGTTATGCTTCACAGTACCTCTGGGAGGAGTTCAGAATAAAACTACCTGAAACACACACAGAGACACTCACATACAGAGAGAAGCTAAAATCAATAAATTATTTTTTATTTTTTTCTATATTTGTATTGGTGCATTATGTTTTGTACATAATGATAGTATTTGTTGTCACATATCCTTACATTTACACAATATAACAATATAATTTGGCCAATATCTATCCCTGGTGTTTCCCTCTCCTCCTCTCTGCCCCTGGTCCCTTTCCTCTACTATATTGATTTACTTAACTGAACCACAAAATCCCTCCATCAACACCTTTTCCTTTTTCCTCTCTGGTTTCCATATGATAGAAAATATATGACCCCTGACCTTCTGAGTTTGACTTATTTCTCTTAACACAATTTTCTCAAGTTCCATCCATTTTCCTGCAAAAAGACATATTTTATTTTTCTTTATGGCTGAATAAAACTTCCATTATGTATGGTATATATACCATACTTTCTTTTTCCATTCATTTGTTGATGAACACCTAGGCTATAAAACGAAGTATTTAAATAATAAGGAACTGAGAAATAATTTCTAATGGACCAATATATACCGAACTCAGGGACAGACCATTCTAAAGAATCTGTTGTCAAATAACCACTGAAAGAGTTGCAAAACATAAATGTATGCAGTATATGTGTATGTGCATGCACATGCTCACATGTTTATGTGTAAAAACATTTAGCAGGAACTCATTTCAAAGAGAGAACAGGATGATTGAGAAAAACAAAAACAAAAAATGTCCCCTAGATTTCTAAACATAGCATCCACACAGTCAAAAGCACTTATATGGGTAAAAGATATTAAAATGGAATTGTTAAATAAGGTGAAGGTTGCAACCATAATGCACCCCTTTTCTCTCCCTTTCACTATCCACTTAAATTCCTTCTATTTGTGGATTAGTCATGGTCCTACAGAGAAATAAAACTTATAGGATATTATTGTTCCCCCTTATCCAAGGCTTTTGTTTTCTGCAATTTTATTTCCAACAATCAACTGCAGCACAAAGGTATCAAATGGAAAATTCCAGCAATAAGCAATTAATAAATGTTAAATTATATGCTGCTCTAAGTAGCATGATAAAATTTCTGTTCTATCTGAGGAATGAATCAAATCTTTCTCCAATTCATTCACACTGTACAGGCTACCTGTTGTTGTTAGTCACTTGGTAGACTTCTCCATTATCAGATGGACCATTGAAGTCTCACAGTGCGTATGCTTATTTTACTCAATAATGACCTCAAAGTAGGGATCCTAGTACTTCCTCTAGGTGAAAAGGTAAAGTTCTTAACTTAAGGAAAGAAAAAGTTCTAAGCTGAGGTTGCCAAGAATTATGGTAAGAATGAATCTTTTACATGTGAAATTGTAAAGAATGAAAAACAAAATTCATGCTATTGTACCTCAAACAAAAGTTATGATCACTATGCCTCATAAGTGCTTAGTCGTTCACCTCATTCCATCTCATGATGTAGATATTTTACCATCTCATATCATCACAAGAAAAAGATGGGTGAGAACAGTTTGATATTTTTTTGAAAGAGAGAGAAGAAAGACATTTATATAACTTTCATTACAGTATGTTGTTTTGATTGCTTATTATTAATCTCTTATTATGTCTAATTTATAGACTAGTCATTTCCTAGCTATGTATTCATAAGATTCATAGAATTCATTACCATTCATGGTTTTAGTTGTATGCTAGGAATCTCGGAACATATCCTCTACAGATAAGGAGGAACTACTAGGTATACCTATGGATATGTAATTTTTACATATGTGCACATGCACATGCACAAAGAGATTGATTTTAAGAAAAGAGATTGACTTTCAGCCAATTGGATGAGCATGACTCGTGTTATAAAGCTTATCTGGTTTACTCAGTCTAGTGATTTAAGTGCTAATCACATTTAAAAATACCTTCACAGAAACCATCTAAACTAGTGTTTAACCAAACAAGTGGGTACCATGGTCTATCCAAGGTGATCTATAAATAATCATCAGGTATGGATGAAGACAACTTGATCCAGAGGTTACATTTGTCTCTTCCAGACTCTTGGGGAACATTACACTAATCAGAAATCCATTTGAAACAAATGTTTTGGGCTTGTTGTTTTTGTTGTTAAGGTATTACAAAGCTTAACGTTTCCTGAAAAATGCAAAAGATTCTACTTGAGTTTGCAATCCATGACACATGGAATTTCTGGTTGATCCTCATTTTGAGCATGTAGTTCTTTGGAATCACAGCTTATTTAGGGTAATGTTGTCTCTTAACCCTCAACTTCTCCTAGTCCTTGGCTTTGATTTCCCCCCCCCCAATCTAGCCTAAAATTGTTTCCAGAAGCTAAATCTGAAATTTTCAAATACTGAAATAGAAGATGGAACCTTCAAACGAAATTGCCTAATTATCAAAATACAATTAAAATATCGAAAACTGATGGAAATAATAATTTAAAATTTTAAGCAAGAATTTCCTTAAACTTTGCTCTAGAAAATGACAATCACTGTGTGAAGAAGAGGTAAAGGGAGGAGAGGTGTCTGGGGTCAGGTGAACTCTGTAAATGTTGTGATAAATATTTTCTTTTTGGATTTCTCTGAACTTCATATACTATTCCCGCCTACATAAAGGAGAAATAAGTACATACATTGCTTTTTCTTCTGAACTTATTTTATAACCAAATCTTATTTTTTCATGGAGCATTCCTGTTATGGTTTGGATCTGGAATGTCCCCCAAAAGCTCATGTGTTAAAGACATGGTCTCCAAAGCAGCAAAGTTCAGAGCTAGTGTTGCTGGGAAGGGGTTGGATCCTAACAGCTCTAACCTCATCAGTGGATTAATCCATTTGATGGATTAATAATTTGAATGGACTCTTAGGAGGAGATGAAAACTGTAGCAGGTGGAGCCTAGTTGGGAGAAATAAGTGACTGGGGTCATGAGTGAGGGATTACATTTTGTCCCCACCCTTTCCTGCTATCTTCCACCTTCTTTCTGCTTCATGGCCATCATGAGCTGAGCAGCTTTCCTCCTTCACACTTCCCACCATGATGTTCTACCTCACCTTAGGCTCAAAGCAATGGAGCCAGCTGCCTGGTCTTAAACCTCTGAAACTATGAGTCAATGCAAAGTTTTTCTTTTAAATTGTTTATGTCAGTTATTTTGGTCACATTGATGAAAAGCAAGTACAATCTCTAAGAATTTATTTTCCACAAGCATATGTTTTAGAAAAGTTGCCCAGTGTTAAGAACTACGTTTTTCTCTCTTCTCCTAGGCTAGAGAATCCTCTCTAGCCTGCCCAATTCTGCTATTCACAGAACAGTGGCCAGAGTGCCTGCCCCAAATCCCAGAAAAAAGTAAGAAGCTCAAAAGTGACCACAGGAGAGACTGTTACAAGGTATATAAAGGTATATAGGAGATGTATGAGGAAGTTTGTCCCATTTGGGAAAAGTTTTCCAAGAACACATGATTCTCTG